GGCAAAGACATACACATCTAATAGCAGCAAAGAAGTTACTGAACACAAGTCACATCACCATTCATACTATTTTTGCTGGTGCATTTATTTCTACATTCATTCTCCAAAGATTTACCATGATACCATGGGAACAGACAGCCTTCACCATCCTGAGCTTTGCAATAAGGAAGCTGCTTGCATCAGGCATAATTTTTATTAGCCACATTTGTTTAGCCTGAAATTTCAGGCTGTTGGGAATACACTGGCTGGAGTCTTATAGCACCTGGACTAAAGCCTGCTGCCAAGAGAGAAGATGTTAACTCCCTTAGAAATAAAGACTGCCCTTGACCTCTCCCTGCAGACAGGGAGGTCACCACTTCTGGGGCTCCTTTCTGCAGGACAGGGTTCTGCACTCAGTATTACAGACGGGGTGCATTTGCAAAAGGGTCTCATGCTGGCACTTCAATTATTGCATGAAATGTTTCTTCAATTAATTACATGCATAGAGAGAAGATTTTAGATGCTCCTAGCAATTCCATTAGACAGCTGCACCAGTGAGAGATTGTTCTGTAGGACTGAATAAGATTGATTGTAGGTGGAGAAATAGAAGCTGCTTTGAAAACCTGGTTAAACTGTTCTTTTGCCTAGACTTCCCATCGTTTACAAGAACACAAGGTTGTAAACTAGCTCATTCTAAAACCTGAAAAGACATCTAAAACAGATTTTTGAGATCTAAAACACTTCTCCAACAGATTGAGTGGGATTTTCAAAAGCACCCAGCATGTGTCTAAAACTCCGGCTGAAGTCTGTGATACAATGCCTGAGAGGGGACTTCAGCCAGCACCGAGAGTTTCTGATGATCCCACTCAAACAGCAGCAGTATCACTGAAATGCTAAATGACAATGAAGGGTTCAGTGAACAAGTTCTATGACAACTTCTACAACTACATTTTTCTTTCAGGACAAGTCTATTTTTCAGAGCTACGTGACACCCAAATACGTGGGATAGATAAGCAAACCACTGCCTACTCTACACAGACTGCCCTCTGCATGCATAGAGAGTGGGTAGGGATCACCTTTGCATCTGCAGTGCTGTCCTTCCCTGAATATCTGCACTGTTTTTAGCCCGTTCCATCTCTATACACGTGGATGGGAAGGCTTCGACTGGGACAACATACTATCCGTTCTGCAAATCCCATAGGGGATTAATTCCATAGGCAATATTACTTTTGGGTTGGAATCACTACAACTGAGCTAGAACATTAAACAAAATCCTGAAATCTGGATTTCCTCAAAGTACTTGTCCCTCCTGAGGACTCCCAGGCTCTGCTTCACCACACCCCACCGGAACAACCCAGGAATCCCTTTCTCTTTCTACTGCCCTTACATTTCTCCTCCCAGACCAGATGAGTGATATGGCTCCTTTCAGGCTGATGATTGGAGATACCAAATTCAAGTCCTGGTTTGACTTTCTACATCATAAATTTGTTCCTATGTGTAACAGATTACAAAGCTTAATCAAATAACCTGATAGCTTCCTTAAACAGGAGAAATGGGAAGATTTTTTGAGATCCTGAAGAAAAAGAGATGCCTCTGAAGAAGACCACAGGAGCTCTGACTGAGCAGAATTCAGTTCTCACCAGTAGCTGGTGATGAATGTTGATGATTTTTAAAGACATTAGAAGGATTTCCACAAATAAAAAGCATACAAGTATAAAACTTGTGGAAAGTACTGGACTCAGACAATTTATCTTAATAGAACCCAATGCTGTAATAAAAATACTGTATACGTAGCCAATAAACAGTTTTATATTATCACAAGGACAGAGAACAACAATATTGAACAGGTAATATTAGTTTGGACTCTTATGTATTTGGTAACTGGTTATTCTGTTTAAATAAGGCACAAATATTAGCCTTTTTAAAAGATCACTGATAGTAAGTGGAAAAGATTCTGTAATATTACAGATTTAAAAACGTACCTACAGTTAAATTCAAGATAGATATAAGACAGTTATTTTTGAACCCATGCAAGGTTCAAAACCAAGAGACATACATATGTGCTTTATAAATAGTAAGGAAATAATGTGGCATAAGCACAGTAACTAACATTTTGACTGAAATAAAAATAATTCTAAGTTGAATTTTACCTTCTATCTTTTAGTTCATCTGTTTACTCCTTTTCAGCCTGCATTTTCATTCAGTGAAGCAGTGAATTATTAGTATGATGCCTCGGTTTCGAAAGATTCCACTATCAAACTTCTAATTTTATGAACCTTATCATAAATATATTAGCAGCCTCACAGGGCTTTCATACTTTTTCCCCAAAGGTGAGAATGTGGCAATCTATGTAATAATAGGAGTTCGGTGCCTAACTCTCATTTAGATTTAAGATTTATTCTGTCAGAGAGCCATTTTTGAAAGCCATTTTCTGGCAGCATTCCTGGAGTTTTATATTTTTGAAAGAAATGATGGTCATAATTTGCAAATTTTTTTCTATTTTTCTCCTTAAGACATTAATACTGTTTAACTTATTTAATACATAAAGAAAACAAAACATCATCTTAGATGGAATAGTGGACAGAAACACCATGTCAGGTGAGGAGAAAAGTAAAAAGTTAAGTCTTGAAATTCTCGTAAACAAAATGCAAGGACATGAATGAGAACAAGTCAGAAGCGCTACAAGAACAAAAACCTTGGTGTTGCCTGTCTGCTCTTAGACACACCTGGCAGCACTGTTTGGGTAATGTTTAGTACCAGCAAAGGAGAAGGATGCCCTCTACCATGTCATTAATACCACCTCTAAACAAGTATCCATGAGGTTGCTCTGCAACTTTCTCATCTGAGCAGCACCTGAGCCACCTGGCCTGACACACCTGGAAAAGTTAGAATGAAGATTTAAAAATATTTTTTATTATACTTTTTATTTTTAATAATGCAAAATATTTTGCGAAATAACATTTTTATGTTATAAAAAAGCCCAAACTTCACAATGTACTATGTTGGGACACCAGAGGAAATCAAAGGACGGATAAATACTTCGGAGTGCAGGCCTCTAGACATACAAGCTCTAACTCTGGAATACTGAGATTCTCCAGCAATGCAGACTGCAGGTGCCCTCAGGAATGCTCATACTCTAATGAGACAGATATTTCTGTAAGATTTGCACTTTTACAACCTTTAACCTTCATTGTAGTGATGAAAAAAAGTAATTCTGGAGGCTCAACCCGAAGACAAGTACTGGCCCAGCCCTTCTCATTCTGGAACAAGCCGAAACTTTTGTATTAACAAAGCCAAGGTCTCGCTCTACTGCATCTCTTTGACAAAGCATCAAACACTGCCTCTGAAGTGATATGGATTCATATCACTTGTGGCTGCTTGTAATAAAGCAGCCAAAAAACCCTTTCCACTTTTGTCAGGTAGATGGAAAATTCATTCATAAATCTCAGTGTAGCGATTCATATTAAACTTTGCTACAAATTATCATTAAGATATTAAAGCACAATCTGATTCAAATACTGACCTCACAAACATGCTCACTCAGGCCTATACTGATTTTAAGACTAACCATTCATACCAAAGAAGGAAAGAAAGGAAAAGGGTTTCTGACACGAGTTTAGAAGAGAGGAGAGCATTCTTCTCAACCAGAGTTCATTTTATACCCACGTGTTACTTCTGCCCACCACATCACAAATATCCTACAGAGCTGACAGATCAAATTTGCTGAAACTTACTTCATGCCTTTCCTGTCCTGAGCTCCTGTGGAGGACAATGCATGCATGGTAAGGTAGAGAGGTGAAAAAAGAAAAGGGGAGGGAAATTTAAAAAATAATAAAAAAAAACCAAAGAAAAGAACTGCTCCATATAGCAGCAAGAATTTTCAGACTTTAAACATCCAAATATTCCTCAGGAATGCTGCCAGGAGGACAAATGTTTTAAATACAATATACATCAAGTTCACCTATTCCCCTTCACTGAATTTAGAAAGAGATTTTCGATTGTTCAACTTGGTTAAAATGAGAGTTTGATAGATGCAGCCTTAAGCTGAATCTGTAATTTTAGTTTTCTAGTGTTACAAGTAATTTTCAGTCATGACTCTTTAATAATTTAACTAAATATTACTTCTGAATAACAGTAATTCAATCAACTGTCAAAAAGATAGCTACTAAAAGTTGAAAGAAAATAGCTCAAAAGAGGCACAAATTAATTTTCAAACACTATTAAATTGTAGAAAATAAAAAACAATAGAAATCTATCAATTCCACTTACACTTTTCTTTCTGAAAATTTTTAGGTGAAACAGTATACCTAGGGAAACCAGATAATATGTCTTTAAAGTGTCTTAGTTGTAAACAGAAGTTAACAAATGTCACATTATAATTCAGCACTTCATATACTTTACAGAAGAGAGAAAAGCTTGCGCTACCTTTTCGAAGTCTGGAAGACAGGGCCACAGTTTTAGTTTGGAGTAAGTTCCAAGTTATATTCACAAGAAATTCCTTAATCTAAATAACGTTTCCTTCCCCTCTCCTTTGCTGAAGCAAATTCTTGCTATGGAAAATCATTATTGCTGTATTGTAGATTTGCATTCATCTTCTAAGATAGTTAAACCTCTTCTCAAAAGATTAAGGCAATTATTATTCATTACAATTATTAACATTTGTACATTTTAGACAAATCAGATTGCTTGGTTCATTCCATGCTTAATGGGATTAATATAGTACCTTCAAAACCGGTTACCTGTTAGATGATACCTTTCCTGCTGCTTAGAGAAAGCAAACGCTAGGAAGCACCATACACCTGCTGTATTTTTAACACAGAGACTAACTAGTACCTGATTTAAGAGTGCATTCATATATTTAGTTCCATTTTGTGGACCTAACTACAGCCAACAAATAAACTGGGTAAATACAGAAGCGGATGTCCCAGTGGCAGAAAACGCATTCTCAACTGAAGAGAATTATTTTTGTAATCAAAGATCTCTTAATCCTTTTTAGTCTTTTGGTTATTATGTTATATGGAGTTACATGGAGTCCTGAGTAGTCTCCCTTTACCTTCTGATGGGAGTCAAGTTTTGCTTCTCATAGGTTTTTTTACGTTTTACTTCCACTGCTACTGCTGGATAAGCTATCTTTTGAAATATTTAAACCATAGTTAAAAGCAGAACTCAGTTTACATAATGACACCACTTCTTGAAGAAGCCCACCCTCTTCTGGAGTTTCATCTCCTTCATTCCCATCTTTCTCCCAAGGGACCAGAATGGATGGATGTTGAGCAAGACTTGCTGGAAGCTGATCTTCTGAGGTATTGCTTAGTGTTTCATTCTGCTCTGCATACTTATAGGAAGAATATCCTGCTTTGAAACTTTCTAGAGAAGCAAACAGAGCACCTGATCGTACTGGAGATGGGGATGTCATACTAGTGGTGTCCATCTTGTCAGCAACAAAGGTTTTGTCACTACTCTCTTCTTCCAGCCTTGAGAGAGATTCTCTATGGCCACCAGAAGAAACTTGCTTCCTTGGTGATGGAGGGAGCTGCTTCCCATGGAGGGCACTGTCATCCTGACCAAGGTTCCACTCTGCTTGATCATTAGCACTGCAGAGCAGGGTAAGGTTGCTCTCACTAGGTGCATTTGACTTGTTCTGAAACAAAGAACATGCGTTTATAGTTAATGTCACCGGCACTTTCAAAACAAAAATACTGTAATTGTTTTTGTGGGTTCCTAAATCGTGGATCCCCTTTGGGGTTTAACATGACAAACCAACAATCCCAGAAATAATGTAAGATTGAATGCTTTTACACTTCCTCACCAGAACAGAGTCTCTTATCCTAGGGATTTCCTTTTGTACAGAGGAAGGATTTCTGTCTCCCCTGTCCATCCAGTCTTTGCACATGGAGTTTTGACAGTGAACTAAGACACACGTTGCTGGTTTGTACCCATAATGTGAGAAGGAGCTGGACTAAATCTAAAAACAGATGGCATTTCTACTTTGCTTCAGTAACTAATTATATCAACTTTCAGTATTACATTGTTTTGGCCAAAAAAACCAAAAATGGGCATTTTATTGATGTGAGTGCTGTGTGACACTCATAATGTAAAATTTTACAAGCTTTTTAAACATTTGCATTAGAATTTGCTGTTCCAGTAACAAATCTACTATAGGAACCCTTTCAGCAAAAGTAAATGATGGACAGCTGATATGAGCTGGAATTCAAAAACTAACATTTTTGGCTTAACATCACAGCAGTGATTTGGTGAGGGTTTTAAAGTTGCAGGCAATGCACTACAGGTCTGGTGCAACTCTACCTAAGAAAGGATCAAGGAGTCCTCTTTGAAAGCTCTGGCTTTCTAGCAGTGTTTCAGGTGCAATTACCACTTGGATCCCATGACTTAAGATGGAAACATCACCATATGATAGCTAGTTCAAGGATGCAAGGTGAAAATGGAAATTAATACCTTCTAAACTCGATAAAAACAAGACTAAAACCAGCTGGTATTCTCAGAGATTAAACAGCTAAATATAATATTAAACTATTTAAGTAAATCATTACAATATTCACAGCTCTATACTGTTATATTATGTTATAATGGAAAAATATTGTTTCAAGAAGACTTGGTAAATTAAACAAAGGCATAACCAATGTCTTGGCTCATGAAAAGCCATCACGGGTATACTGTTATGTAGCTCTTGGAAGACACATTAGCAATTCTAAGGACTATGCTGAAGTGTCTGAGCTGCACGTTGTTGTTTCCACAAGTGCAGGATTCTGCTATACAGGGATTGGAGTTGTTTTTCAAATGAAAGCAGAAGACTAACCGCAGTCTTGTAATCAATGTCATCCATTGATCTAAAGAAATCCAGGCTCTTTGCTCCTGAGAGCTTTCCTTGATCTGAACTGTGTGTGCTCAGCGTGTCCAAAATCTCCCCAAGCAAGTCCATTTCTCCTTGATGCTGAGGAGTTATTCCAGTTTCACCAGAATCATCACTATCACAAAAGTAAGCAGAAGCTTCTTCACTGTCTTCTGATGATAACCTGAAAACAAAATCTTTTCCATTAGTTAGGAACATAGAAGTCATATTATTACATTCACTTCTAAAAGTAAGTAGGAGAATGCATTCCAAGATTTTTAAAAGGGAACATAAAATTGGAATTTTTTTCTACTCAAGAATTTTCCTAACCACAGATACATATCATCTATGGAGATACAGTTACCATTAGCTGGTTTTCCAGTCTCCTGGCTCTTCCCCAACCACTGTAACTATTATATCAAATCACTCTTAATATGACTTCCCAAATATTCACTCCAAATTTTAGCTATTCCAAAATTGGTTCATTTTTTTCCCTTGTCTACATCTTATATTTAGGTCAGTGTTTCTACACCTCTCCAGATGACCTAGACACATACTTTGCTCTAGTGGTAAGAAGACTCTCATGCTGCAACTCTACTATATTATGACCAGATTTACTTGAGTACTCGCTACCTGCAAGGAGAACTGGTGCTTTTGTCTCTTAATTTTCTCTTTTATTCATTGCAATACCCTTACGTCTGACCCTCATACTACTGCCGTCTTTCTCTATCACTGCCTACCCATACTACTACTACAAAGGGTATTTCCATGGCTCACTGTTTTGATTATATCCTTTGAACACTTCAGTAGCTCTCTCTTCCCTATTGCATCACGGCTTAAGCTGCCTTACTTTGCTTTTAAGGTCCTCTATGGTTCATTATCAAAAACTGTCTCCTGAATTCAATCAGAGACTGCCTCAATGCAGCTTAAGCCTCAGCTTCTGACTTTCCTTTAATTTACACAAAGGAAAACCTTGATACAAAACTCAGAAGGCAATATTTCTCTTTCAGGCCCCTCAGAAAACTTTCCATTGTCATGACCACAACACAAGACTAAAAGAATAGAGTAGTTGAGGCCAATGTCCACCATGTTGACAAATACTATTTCACTGCTCCTTCGTGTATGTAGTCTATCTTTTCATCTTGAGTCTGTGAAGATTGAGGATTATGCCAAGCTCTTCTAGGTACTATAATAATGAAAAGATAGAATAGGCTGTCCCTCTTTTTAAAAGCAGATTTAATCCTAAATTACTCAACGTCATCTAGATCACGAACCAAGCTAGCAGCCTGGACAGGAGAAAAGTCATCACTTGAACTCAACTTTGCTGAATAACACTAGTGATTTTCTCGCATACATACACACACATCCAAACAGGCTTCTTACTTGCTTGTTCTCTCCATTTCATCATCATCATCTCCATCCAAGGCATCCTGATTACTGAGACGTTGGTTGAAACGAGTCTGGAGGACAGAAAATTAACATTATAATTTGGGGAGGGGGCAGGGTTCATGTAATGAACAGTAATGCTTCAGCGTTACTTATTTGGAGACTAGCTGCCACTTTACTCATTAAGACTTCCTGAATACTTGATGAGGAAAACCACCTATCGATCAAGTCTTCTAAAGGTTGTTATAAGACAATGTGAAGTCCTCAAGCATCACCAATTAAAGAGCATGAGAATAATTTTTCTTCATGGGCTATAGAGGGCCTTATTATTTCTGCAAAGCCTTGATTAGCAGAAGGCTGGCTATTGGAAGAAAAGCATCACTCAAGACTACTGCCTTCCCTTTCTTGAAAGCATATTCCGAAACGCACTGTGGTTTATTACTTTCTAATAGAAATATTCATCAAGTTTTGGTTGATGTGGTCTACTGCACATGAAGAAAAATTGATTTTTGAAGTAGAATACAAAATAACATATTTTTGTAGATATTTTACACATCTATATTTATGTTAGGGTGTTAAACAGAACTGCAGAGTAAGTAATATACCAGCTCAAAAACTATGCACTAAGAATGCAGGATAATTTACTGTAAATCACAGTTAGCGCACACTCAGAGCATTCCATGGGGAGATTGTGTAGAGTAGCTGGTGTGCTGTAAATTTACACACTACCATACTGAGTACTCACTAACCTGTTATATCACATTCTTATTTAGCAAACAGAACCAGGCTAAAGATTTCTACAATACTTGAAAAAAGTCTCTGTCTTGACCAGAACATTTAAGTCGGGAATTTTAGTCACTTGTACTTCACAAATGACTGTCTTAAGATCTGCACACCCTTATAATTGTGTTGTTCAAAAACCTGCAAAGATTAACGATGCAGGCAATCAATCCACTGAAGAGATTCTGAACCTTGGAAAACTGGCCATAATTTAAAGACATATGGATAGAATTTGTGCAAAGGGAAAACAGTGTTATCTAACTTTAAATAAAATCATACACAAGTAAAAAGAAGTGCTACTGCCCACATCTCATCATGCAGTTCACCAAATGCCTAAATCTTCAACAAGCCCATCATGGGGAAGAAATATGACCTTAATTTCAGACTACAAGGAGCTTGGAAATCTTGTACTGTGAGGATTTCAGTATGTCACCTATGACAGATGTTGTCAGTGTTCTACATATACCAGGACACTTTTTGCAACTTTTTTCCCCCATTATTGCCAGGAATGTCTCAATGTTCACTCTTCATAGTCTGACACATTTGTTTTGTTCAACAAGAGAGGATTTAATTAAAGTAGAAAGCTTTGATAACATTTTCCATAGTTCTTCATCCATAAAGAGGAAACATGGTTCTTAATGTGTTAAACCAAGTAACAGTTGATAGAAAATGAAAGAATTATTAGAGTATCAAAAACTATGAAAGAATTCAAACTAAGCTTCATACTGAGCAGAAGTTAGGATGGAACACAAAGAAACAAACTATTGATGTTTCTAACTCTCCCAGTTTTGTGAGTTCTTTATGTCATTCCCATCAGCGTTGTAATCAATCATATCCCTGCTTGTAACTAAAGGGAGGTTAACCACTCTGTCTTAATTGCTATTGTTAATTGGTTATCTTACCGCCACAGCTACAGTCACTGTTTTCAGTTTAAAAGTTGCTGCTTTAAGTAGTTACCTCTACTGGGACAAGTGAAATACTTTGTTTCTATAACACTAGTAATCCATTACTACTCCATGAAAATTCTGACATTATAGTAATTGTAATTAAAGCTCTAATCCTGGAACTGGCTCCTGGAGGGCAAAACTCTGTCTCACTTTGTTGGAATTTGCATCAGAATTAGATATTGCCATCACATTTACTTCTATTAATGACAAGATTTTGCAGGAAAGAAGGTTCTTTAAAAATGTTGTGAAATTTCAGAAAACAAAACCAAACTCAACACTTGTTCATCTGTAGAGGGATTAACTCTGTCAATGGAATAAAATCTCACAAGGTAACACTCACTTTTTTGTCAAAATAAATAATGCTTCAAAGAATATAGATGGTAAGTTTCAAAAAATTTAAATAAAAAATAAAATTACAAAAAAGAAAAAAAAAGAAAATAATTAAAGAAAGGTTGTGTCTTGAGAAACAGGAAGTGAATGAAATTAATATGAATCAGCAAACACCACAGGCACAGCAGTGGCCCTTCAGAGTATCTACAAACAGTATTATGCTTGTTAGTGAAAAAAAGAATAACATAATATAAAGGCATATAACAGAGCATATGTTGATAAACCTAAAATCCAAATCAAATTTAAAAAAGCCGAAAACACCCAAACCTTCTACTTCTTGATGATAAGAATCTGACTTTGAAAAAATACTTTTGTTATCAATTTAAATCGTTAGGGGTACAAAATTATACAGGAAGACTTTCAAAAACTAAACCAAATAAAATGGGATTGACATACAAAGAAAACAAAGCACAAGAGGAAGGAAAGGAAAATATCTGTAAATAACAACATTCTCCAGAGTTTACAGCCCTGTGAACTAGCCATGGAGACAACAAGCAACACATGGTTTTGAATTGGTGACTTTCCTCTAGGAGCTGTAATAAAAATGACTGCAAGGGAGGGGTATGTCCAGACTACTTTGCAAAGAAAGAAAAAGAAAGAAAGAAACTCTTAATAAATTCCAAAAGGAGAACCATAAATCTTTTTCATTGCTCTACTAGGCAAAGTGACATAGTACGTGCACCTGCAAAAGCTGTCAAAGTCATTTAAGAAGTCCTTCCATTACTGACGTACCCTGCTGTTTGCAGTTATTTAAGCTTTTAATTTCTGTCTTTTCTGCATTTTGAAGTGTGTAACCTTTTTTATACCCTTTTATGAAAAAAGGACAGACTTCTGTTTCCTTCCTGATCAGCATTCTAATAATGACCAGACCATTTAAATTTATTACCGCAAGAAATGATATGGTAACACTCCTTTCTTCCTGCACCAGAACTTTATAAAGTCTTAATAGACTGCTGTCATGTTTTTTTCTATAAAATAAAGCAACGAACTTCTTTAAAGTAACTCAATTGTTTCGCTTCTTCCAACTAGTTCTGCTTACATGATAAATCTATTATTTAGTGTATCCACTTTATATAAAAACCATGAACTGTGATTCAACTTTTGCTCTTCCAAATTTTTTTCATCTTCAGGCACACCACTGCACCACAAGAACCCATCTCTCATCTTGCTCAGAACATAAGAGAGTTGAATATACTTAAACACAAAAAGCTCAGGCTCTCCACCAGCCACTGTTGAACCATCAAGCCTGGGCGTAAAGTACGGCAAAGGAGCAACTGCAGCCAGCACGAGGATATATGTCCTTTTTGTATACACTGTATACATCCTCTTTGGTTTCTGCCTCACTTCCAAGTCTCATTCTGCCAAGTGGTCTGCTGCCTATACAGCTGTGGTAAATGCTGATCAGTGAAACCAGAAAAAGAAGGTGCTGACAGTATAAATATGGGTAGAACCAAACAAAGTGAGAATAGGTCCTTAAACTGTTCTCGTCTGCTTGCCGGTAGCCTCACAAAATGTACTACTTTGGCACAAAAATGTAGACAAAATACATGAATGCTAAAGGATTCAAATGTAAGATGTAATGTAATTCTTGATTGGGCATGAAAGTCAATCTTTGAAATGTCAGCTTTTTATTTAATGCTAGACCTTTCAGAAGCACAGCTTTCTGGAATGAGTGTTTATCGATCAATACTAAGGCAGAAAGTTTAACAAGGCTGCTGCTATTAATTGTCCTCAAAGTGAGAAACAAATAATCTTTTGATAAATGGCAGCACACATATAATTTCACATTTACTGGCTACTCAATACATCAACACATAAAGTTTCAAAAAAAAGAAAAATATCTACTATGGTTTACATCTATGAAGTACTTTTTTCTTAAAAATTTAGTCATTCAGTACGAGAAAGCAAAATGAATACAGGTCCACTATTATTTATGATTCAGTATTATATTCTACTTATCCTCCTCTGCAACCCAATCACAGACGTAATTATTGCTTCACCTCCAGTAGGGAAGCAAAAGATCTCCCATTCAGACTTTCTAGTTAAGCACAAACTGTTGCCTTTATTTCTGTTTAAAGACAGTGACCTAAACCAAGGGATGATGAAATCACAGGAAACATACTTCATACTGCACTACATAGGAGCTGAGACTGATAGGGGAAGAGGGAAAGACCAGAGATTAAAAAGTACAGTTTCTATGCTTTCTTTTCTTCAATGCCCTTCTTTTTCTGGGATGTAGTACAAACAACCACAAGCTTAAAGTAGTGCTAGGGATACCAATTAGTTACAGGGACAACAGACCAGGATAGATGCAAGTAATAATTCTAGAATAATTTATAGAAATTATCCTTTTCTTGTGTGCCTTCCCTCACAGAAAGTAACACAAAGTAATGATGCCTCACAGAAATAACGCACTGATTTCAGAAAAGTTGTCCTGGATATAAATTAAATAGATTAAATAAATTATCTAAGATGCTGTATTTGCTTTTTAATATTTTTAAATTATCATTACAAAAAAGGTCTCAAGGATAATTTAAAAACTATTAACACTAAATTAACAAACCCCTTCTTTCTTACTTGGATAGAAAACTTCTCTGCTTTAACAGATTCAGACATATGGACAATACATTTGAAAGTACACAAAGTGGTTGGAAATATCCATAGCTACATGCCATGAGACACAAGTGTCATCAGTTCTGAGATCCTGTTAATTTAAATGACAGGGAGAGATCCATAAAAAGTAGATTCCTAGAGACAGAAATAAATCCTTCTCCATAACAATAAACAGCCTGCAAGAGAGCTAAAAATCTAAAAATCCAAAAATCTGTTTAGAGACATAGACAACCAGAAATGTGTAGATAAGAGTACGGGCACAGTACTCTGAAATGACAAGGAAGCTGTACTGCAACAGAGTCCTGACTTTTATAAAGTTAAAGGAAACAATATCCGTGCTGAGG